CAGAGATGTCAGTCATTTTGGTTTAATTTTCTTTATCGCTGCTATTTTTTTTGGAGGGCAAAAAAAAAAAAAAATTTGTTTTCTGGTAGTCAGGAATTGCAGATAAATCTTTTGCCTTTTACTAAAGATTTCTGTGGCCGGGTGTCAATTTTTTTTAACTCCTGGCAGTCATATAATTGAAAATTACCAATAGACTTTGTCTTATTTTGACCCCATAGGAGTGTTGATTTCCTTCAAAACTCTCAATTTTATATATGAAATAATTTGATTATGATTTAGGCTTTCTGATTTTCAAAAAAAATGGTTAATTTCCCATTAATGGGGAAATTTTTGGTTTAGAACTAGAAAAAATGCAAAATTTTCACTATTTTTTTCATATTTTACCTCTCTGAAAAAAATTTGAGTCATTTACACCAATTATAATTTTAAATGAAAGAATATATCCTTTGCTTTCAGAAAATACCTAGTTTCATGGGCTTCAGATCAAAAGTTTCCTTGATATTAGTTTAGGTGATGATAAAACAGTCATTTTTCAATATTTTACCCCTATAAAAGTATGAAAATCCATTTTTTGAGAGAAGCTGTGACAAAATGACTTTTGCCATTTTTGTGATTTTTACTTGGGATAGAAAATTTTTTCCATAGCAAACCTAAATTGACTTTATTTAAGTTCAGTGGGGCAATAGAAAACCTCAAACAACTGTAGGGGGGGATCAAATTAAAAACAAAAAAAAACATGATTTGCATTCCTCATTTGTAATCACTAAACCCAATGCAATCGAATTTCTACCGTTTTCATAAAATTAGTTATGGGGGGGTAATAAATATTTTAAAAAATATTTCTGTGATGACTTTAATAAAAAAAAAAAAATCATATTTATAATAATTTCAATCATCTGTGAATAGTTCCTGAAAGTTTCATTAATATCCGGCAATTATATTTTTGCAAGATTTTCGAAATTAATGTGTGTCATACCAAAAAAACATGCTAAAAATGGTCTATGTTATTTACTAGTTCCACTGATACAAAGAGAAACAAGATTTTTTTTAATCAAAATTTAGAATGTTCTAAAAAGAAGGAAAAATTTTTAAAAATAATTTGGTCTTTCCTCTTAATAATAACATAAGCATTTAGATGATAAAATTTTGTTTTCGGCAAGGTGGCGTCTTTTTCATCAAGCTATATACTCTTTTTTTAGCAATTTTGTTGGAGGTACCTAGGTTTAGTGTTTGGCTGATACATATATATGACTTGTTGCATTTTGGGCATTTGAGTACATAAGTCAGTTTTAGAGTTGCAGTTTAAATTTTTATTTATTGTGAATGTTGTTATGGGGTTTTCAAAAGTGTAGGAGTTTTCTTCTATAATGATATCACAAACCCCACAACTTGTTTTGTTGCATTTAACTAATGCACAATACAGGGGGTTACCCCCTGTATTGTGCATTAGTTAAATTTGGATGAGGTTAATGTGTTTCAGGTTTTTTTATTGTTTTTTGCTTTTAAATAATTTGGTTGTTTTTAGTATTTTTTTTTTTTATCATTCTTGTTAAGTAGGTCTAGATTTTTTTAAAATAGTTCTGGAGTGTTTCTTGTATATTGAGAAATATGCTAGAGTTTGACGTTACATTTCTTTGGATTTCATAGTTGGTCTAAAGGTATTTTTTCTGCTAGTTCAAAATCTTTGTTTATTAGTGTTGTAGGGTAGCCTCATTTTTTTTTTTTTTTTTTTTTTTTTTTTTTTTTTTTTTTTGTTTTTTTTTTTTTTTTTTTGTTTTTTTTTTTTTTTTTTTCGTTTTTTTGTTTTCGGTTTTTTTTGTTTTCGGTTTTTTTTGTTTTTTCGGTTTTTTTGTTTTCGTTTTTTTTTGTTTTCGTTTTTTTTTGTTTTCGTTTTTTTTTTTTTGTTGTTTTTTTTTTTTTTTTTGTTGTTTTTTTGTTTTTTACAGTTCTATGTAGTTTTTGTAGGCAAGTTTTTCAGAAGTGTTTATCAGTCACTATAGTACAAACCCTACATGCGAGAGGTTAGGGGATGGATTTCAGGCAGCTTTTTGGGTGATGGATCTTGAAATGAACATAGTGTTGGGTGTCTGTAGGTTTGTGGTAGATATCTGTGATTATATGGTTGTTTCTATTTCTAATGAGTATATCTAAAAATGGTAATTCATTAAAATTATATTCTTGGGTGAATTTGATTTTTGGGTTAACTTCTGAAGTAAAGTGTGGAATGATGATTTCCAGAAAATGATGCAATCATCTAAGTATTGTCTCCAAGATTTAGTGAAGTGGGTTTTTATATTTTCCCCACATATTTCTTCTATCTTTTCATACAGGAATGAGAATTAGATTATATATATATATATATTATAATTATTTATTTAAAAATATGATTCCAAATCGCTACATAAGAGGTCTCATGTTTCAAAACAAGAGCCGAAAACTTCAATATAATCCTTTAAATTAAATTGAGTTGAAATTAAAAAGGGCTCCGTTCCATCTTCAAGCGAAATTTTTGTTGGAATAACGTATATCTGAAATTTACTTGTTTTAAAAATTGAAATCAAAATCACCATGGTAACAGCAAGGGCGAATTGTCTAAAATGGGTAGGCGAGTGTAGGGTGTTAATGATAAGTAGCGGTATAGAGATACTTTCAAGGTGTCAAGTCGGGGAAGGTGAGGGTGTTAAAAAAGAAACGAAGATGTATTAAGCTTTCGTCAAGTTGGCTTGTCTATGGAGATTTATTTATTTATTTTATTTTATTATGAAAGGGAATTGTGCATATAAAAAGAAAAACTTTCGTAACGTTTGTTTTTTGACGACTTCATAAAGGGTTATCTTTTATGTAAGGTATTTAAACTACTAATTTGGGCTATGGATTATGAAGGGTGTTGTATGCAAGTTTGTAGTTAATATTTTCTACTATGAATCTGATGATTGGGTTATTTGTTAAACAAGTTATATAAATTTTTTTATTTCAAACCAAAAATCTGATGATGCCTACAAAAAACCGTTAACTCGTGTCTATTATTTAATAGATTATAGATATATATTAGAGATGTGCAACTTTTTCAGTTTCATCTTCACACCGTGAAACTGCATCAAAACTTTTTTATGAAACCGAATGATTTCCATTTCGTTTTTATATCACTACTGAGTGACTATGTCCAAAGAAATACTATTGAAAAAGACTTTCAGATGTTAATAAAATTAAATTTTATCAACATTTATACCATTGTAAGAGAAAAAGATTGAACAAAAATGTTAAACATTTAATTGACTAGTTTTAGGAAATAAATGTGAAATCTATTTCTTTACAAAAATGAAGCAAAAAAGGAAATACAACATGATGTCTGAAATCTAGTTGTTTTAGTTTTCAAAAAAAAAACAAACTTTGCAGTAAAATTAAGTTGACAAAATAGCGAATTGCCAGTTTTGTCTTAATGTTAAATTTTTGTAAGGGTTTTCTAGTAAGCCATTACGCCAATCACAAAATAAATTGCTGTAACAAGAAAAATGAATGGAGATTTTTTTTATAAATAAATTTGTTTTTTATCTAGGGTATGCACCTAAATTAAGAATAATTAAAATAGTTCTTAATTTTATTTTTAAAATGTCTATATTTCCAGATATGTGAGTCTCTGTTTCCTACAAATAAAATTATGTTTCTATCTAGTGAATACATGTAAAATTAGATATTTAAAAAATGAAGTTTTAATCTCTGTTTTAAAATGTGTATATTTTCAAAACTGCAAATTTTTTTTTTTTTTTTTTTTTTCCCAAAGTAAAAATTATTCTTTTTTAGCCACTAGTATTCGGTGGGTGTTACTGTTCTGCCTATAAAATTCTTCTAAACAAGGAAAATTAATTCATTTTACAAATATCTTTACTTTATGGTTTTATCTGGTGAATAATACACTTAAATAAGATTATATTAAAATGATTACTTTTATTCGCTAGATAAAAAACTAATTTATTTAGGGGAAAAATAACTCACTGATCTTCCTTGTTTAGAAGAAATTTATTTGCAAAACCCCAATAATAGTTAATTGGCATACCAGAAAAGAATTGACGCTTTTTTTTTTTTTTTTTTTTTTTTTTCCTTTTTTTTTCCTTTTTTGTTGCTTACTTTATAATTTTTGAAGGAAATTGCTTCTTTGGGTCAGAAGAAATGAACATGTTCCTGGTTGTAGTTTAAGTTGTCTTCTGATTTGAGTGTGCAATTTCAAGAATATTGATATCTTGGTTACTTTGATTTTGTGAAACAAAGTAACATGTAAAATTTAGTTTCAAAAAAAAAAAAAAAAAAACATTTTCGCATTTTCGGCTGGGCGAAGCAATACCGTTTCAACTTGCTGTAAAAAAACTAATTTAATGAATAAAAGCACATACAAATTACATATTTAGAAAGATTATATTACTTTCTTTCCAGCCATATGAATATTTTCAAGATTAGACCAGAAATGCACAAGACATGAAATCAACTGGAAATGCTATCATTACACAAGAAAATGAATGATTTCCTTAGAAAGCAAAAATATTAAATTAAAAACTGAAAAACCAAACCAAAAACCATGGCATCAAAGAAAACAAAACCGATACTGAAATATAAATTGCCAAACTGACCAACTCTAATATAAATTGAAAGTCAATCATTCTTATTAGAAATCTCAATATGAAAGTGTATCAATAAGCTTGTAGCTTGTTGCATAGTTATTAACTGAGTTTTTCACTATAATGTTCAGTCTGTTATTAATATTCACCTCAAATTCTTATGATTGTAGAAGGAAGGTGATTATGTTAAAAATATGTTGCATAAAATCTTTGGAATTATTGGTATACCAATAAATTTTTTCCTACCTGTTTCATTTACATTATTTTCTCATAAATTGTCAAATTTATTATAATGTAACTGATAATCAATTAGAATTTGTGATAAATGAGAAACTTGTAAATTTTATATCAAAACTTTTAGCCTATTTTTACTTTGCATTCTCCTTTCAGAATTTTATAACTCCTGCCCACCAACAAGTTCGGCATCGTTCTAGATTACCAATGAATACTGTCCTATTATTTGTACCACAACAAGAAGCTTGGATTATAGAACGATTTGGCAAATATCATCGAATCCTACAACCAGTTAGTAACAACTTTTTCTTTTTCTTATTACTTTACCTGCATGTCATTTTAATTTTATTTCTACAAAAATAAAATGTAATGTTTTCAAAAGACGAGCAGATGATCATTTTTTTTTTTTTTTGTGTTGCATTGTCTGTCTCAGCAGACATAGTGCAAAGCACTATAGATCTGAGTAAGATCTATGAAGATCTTGGTCTTCCTATCTGTCTTGATTCTTTTCTTGGCATTGCTGGTCCAAAGGAAAAGGTGACATAAATACAGTTTGGTATGAGCACAGCTGCTGGAAGGTGACAAAGTACACCATCTAACCACTTTAAAAGCTCCACTCTGGATTTGTGTACACTAACTCCTTAATCTTATCTGAAGTTACCCACAAAGCAGCAGGGGAGAGATGTTTTGGTTTCTTTCAAGATTGGCTGCCAATCAAAGCAAAAGAGACCAGTCTTCTCTGCTATTTGACTCATTGGTAGAGGAAGATTGATACATTCCTTGTCCAAGGGTATTTGTGTATATATCTGTTAAAAATTGATGGTTACTTCAGATGTAAAAGAAAATCTCCAAATAATTTCTTTGACCTCCTGAAACACATTTTGAGAATCTGTTAAAAATTACTGGCTTAAAGTTTGAATAATAGTAAAATAAATACATACTTCATTAGTTTATTTTTGGGGGGGGGGGATATATTTTCTTAAGAAATGTATGTATTTTTACTAAAAACTTAAGCTTAATCACCACTCTGTCATACTAACATAAAATGTGCCTATTCTTTTAAAGTGATATAATTTGAGAAATTAAATTTTTATAATGAACTGCAAGCATTTCTTAAATGAGAGCAAGACATCCCATTTTTGTAATGGTAGATCTAAAACAAATGGTTATACTAAAACACTAATAATATTTATAGTTTTTAGAAAAATAGAAATAAAAATGAATACTTCATTGTTTTTATTACTACTGATTTCACTCAACAAAATTAAAAATCTTAGGTTTTGAGAATAAAATGATTTATAACACAGATGTCAGATTTAATTTGTTGAGTTTTATAGTATCATCAAAGGAAAACTTTGAAATGTAAGAGTTTAAATTTTTTGATGATTTGGGATTTAAATTTTGTTCGGAGGCGACCTTACAATTTTCATTAGGAAAGTAAGTTTTTTTTTTTTTTTTTTAAATAGTGTTAAATAGTTAATGTTTATCCCTTTTATGCATTATGATTCACATAGGTACCTTCATGGGATCACTTAAAAACAGAGCATAGCAGGATGAAAAAGACATGAAACTTGACAAAAACAAAATTTCAGCGTCTAAATGCTTATGTTGTTATTGAGAGGAAAGATCAAAGTTTATTTTATTTTTTTAAATTTTTCCTTCTTTTTAGAACATTCTAAATTTTGATTAAAAAAAAAAAAAAACCTTCTTTCTCTTTGTATCACCGGAACTAGTAAAATAACATAAAATTTTAGCACGTTTTCTTCTGTATGGCACACATTAATTTGGAAAATCTTGCAAAAATAAAAATAATTGTCGGATTTTAATGAAACTTTCAGAAACTATTCACAAATAATGGAACTTATTATAAATATGTTTTTTTTTATTAAAGTCATGTCAGAAATTTTTTTTTTCATATGTATTACCCCCCTCCTAACTAATTGTACGAAAACTCTATAATTTTAATTTTGGGAAGATTAGTGATTATATTAGTTAAAAGCACAAGACTTTGAGGAAACCAAATCATGTTTTGTTTTTTGTTTTTGTTTTTTTTAGTAGGACCACCTCTACCTGAAAATCATCTCTGAATTATAACATACAAAACTCAATAAAACAAAAATATTATTTAATTTCAAAAGCTTTTAATTGCTTTTATTTATTTTAATGAACATAGACAATATTGTCTGAAAGCAAAAAGATATTTTGATAAAAAATGAATTTTTAAAACAATTATTTGTTATTTCTGAAATATTTTATTATTTTTACATTAAATGTTGGTAATTCTTCTAAAATTAGGGAAAAATTTGTAAAATTTAACGAATGTTGTTATTAAGTAGATATATATTTACAGATTATAATTTCCAAAGCTTTTTACAAACTAACGAACAACAGTATATAAAAAAAATATAATTTGTGTCAATAGTAACACTGTAAATCAAATCTACGGAAGACCGGAAGTGCAATAAAAAAAAAACGTCACGTAGATTGAGTTTCTGTCTAGTATTTAATTTAAATACTGAATTTTTAATACAATTATTTGTTATTTCTTTAATTACAATAAATTTTTACATTTATGTTGTTAAAATATTATAAAATTAGTTAAAAGCCACATTCAATTTCGTAAATGTCCTTTTGATATATAGATTTATTTTTGCGAAATGCGTGTGGAGAAGTTAATTTGATTTTACAATTTAAACTGAGAAGGGTACCTACAAGTATCAGTATCATCTTAAGAAATTTATGTGATCTTATTTTTATGTTAATCTCAGTTATGACGTTTTTCCATAAATGAAATATCAAAATTAATAATAAAATGAATGGAAATACAAATAACACAGAAAAATGTAATAAATGTACATAAAATTATAGTATTTTATGTACACTTCTGATAAAATTTCATAAGAAAGGTACCTATAAATTAATTAGATACCTTTAATATGAAATTTAATCTCACTCTTAACAGTCTTATTTTAATTTTTTATGATATATTTTTCATAAAATATCGTAAACGTAAAGGTGAAAGCTAAGTACAAAAAAATATTAGAGCGCTGAAAGTTTTCCTTAAAAATAACAAGGTAAATAATTTTTTCACTTAAATGTAAATTATTTCACTTTTCTCCTTCCGTAGAACAAATTAGCCTCACGGAATCCATCAATATGTCATTCATCACCTGTCAAGTAACATGAAAGTTTATGACCTGCTTTGTTTTATTTTCAAATTACATCTTTTCGGCGCAGAAGCTTTGTTCAAAATATTTTAAATAAACATTATAATTTCTGATTTTCTTAAAATAAGTTTTGAAAAAATGATAATTGATATTTAAAAGAATTTCAAAGTGAGATTTCCAGTTTTTTTATAAAATGAAAAAAATGATCAATTTTGCTGACTCAAAAAAAAAATAAGATTTTTAACGAAGATTTTGAACGTGCTAGGAATGATTAAAAAATGTAAAAAAAAATATCCTCAAAATATTTTGATCTTTCCTCTTAATAATGACAAACATTTAGACACTAAAATTTTGTTTACATCAAGTTTGGCGTCTTTTTCATCCTACTATGCTCTGTTTTTAGCGATCTCATTAAGGTACCTATAGATTCACATATTTCATTTATTGTTAACTCTGTTTTTCATTGTTTACGTATTATTATTCATTCAGGGGTTAAATTTGATTCTTCCAGTCGTAGATGCCATTAAATATGTCCAGAGTCTTAAAGAAATTGCTATTGATATTCCACAACAGAGTGCTATTACAATTGGTGAGTTTTTATGCTTTCTCTTATATGAATTAATACATGCACAGATACCATAAAATAAATGCAGGATACCGTCAAAAAAATAAATATAAGCATACACACATACTCATGCCACAAGATGAACATGGGACATCTACCCAAGCAATGAAAAGCAAAACAACATAAAAATTAAACATCATATGTGTGTAAACATACACTGTATTCATCATATTAAAAAGAAGAAAAAAAATTTGCTAACTAGTTTTAACCTAACATTCCACTTTCGCTTCCAACATTCTTCATACTCTGATCATGCGAACAAATACACCTTCCGACTGTTTCCAGAATTAAACATACACACAATGTAATAAACTTAGAATTCCTATAAAAAATTAATATATATACATACAGTGCCTTGCATAAATAATCACCCAACTTGAATATTTCAATATTTTGTGGTGTTACCAACTGGCATTCAATTTGATTTAAATGGTCTTTTTTACCATTTGATCAACACAAAAGGCACAGTGATTTGAAGGTGCAAAATAAATTTTATTTTGACACAAAGCAGTCATCTCATGGATGCATAAGAAACGCCATACCTGCAATTACAGATGCAAGCTTTTTGGGGTAAGTCTCTACCAGTATTGCACATCTTGAGACTGAAATTTGTGTTGATTCTTCATTGTAAAATAGCTCAAGCTCAGATTGAAAGGCGATTGTCTGTGAACATCAATTTTCAAGTCTTACTACAGATTCTCATTTAGGTTTGGGCTTTGATGATCTAAACCATCCCATTGTATCTCTGGCCGTGTGGTTAGGGTTGTTGTCCTGCTGGAAGATGAACCTCTGCTCTAATCTCAAGTTTTTTTGCAGACTGTAACAGGTTTTCATTGATGATTACCCTCCATTCATCTGACCAGCTTCCCTGTTCCTGCTGAAGAAAAGTATTCCCGTGGCATGATGCTGTCACCACCATATTTTCACATTGGGGATGGGTGTGCTCAGGGTGAAGTGTAGTGTTAGGTTTCTGTTACATGTAGAATTTTGCATTAAGGTAAACAGTTTATTTTTGGTCGCATCTGACCAGAAAACTTTCTTCCACATGTTTGCTGTATATGCCACATGGCTTGTGGCAACTGCAAATGGAACTTTTTATGGCTTTCTTTCAATAATGGATTTCTTTTTGCCACTCTTCCATAAAGGCCAGATTTGTGAAGTGCATAACTAATATTTGTCTTGAGAGATTCTCCCACCTGAACTGTATATCTTTACAGCTCCACCAGATTATCATGGGTCTCTTGGTTGTTTCTCTGATTAAATCTTGCCTTGCCCAGCCTGTCAGTTTAAGATAGACTGATTTGTCTTAGTAGGTTTATGGTTTTGCCATACTCTTTCTATTTTTGGATGATGGATTTAATAGTGCTCTGTGGGATGTTCAAAATATGAGATATCTTTTATAGCATAGCCCTGCTTTATACTTCTCCACAACTTTATCACTGACCTGTCTGGTGAGACTCTTGGTCTTCGTGATGCTGTTTGTTTGGTAATGTTCTCTAACAAATTTCTGAAGCCTTCACAAAACATGTGTATTTAACTGTAAAGTGCAGAATCAAAGAGCATAACTCTTTTTCTATTCTTTCCTTTATTGAAAAGAAATAGTCATAATCATGTAGATTAATTATGTGACATTATGCCTCATCAGATGTCTTGTTTGGATGTGACAATTCCTCAAGACACGTCTACATGAATGAATCTGGCGCCTCTCTTCACCAACAATCATTTCATTACCAACTTTACTGAACTCACCACCTATGTATCAGATTGAGATCTGGGGGAGCTGTTATACTCTGTTGCAATTAGATCTCTTTCTGATTCACTCTACATGTCAGCCAGATGTGAATGCTAAAAATGCAAAACACTGTTCACTAACTACACCTAATCCTCCCTCGTCAACATCACCATAACCTCAGCAACCAATGCACCTTACCTTGAATCAACCCACTACCGTGACCCTGATTCAACCATATTTCAACAGAGACCTTCCACTTGATCAGTGTTCACTACCAACACCTTATCCCTCGTTGCCAAAGTCATAACCTCAACAACCATCACGCCTCATCATGAATTAGCCCACCACTGTGACCTCGATCAATCAACCCACCATCCTGCCTTATCAAGCAGTTCAGCTTCAACATGTCAACATTATACGATTGCCAGTCCATCAAACACCTTACAGGTGTCAATTTCAACCACAAAGAAGGGCATATGTCAAACCCCAACAACATTAATACACTCCTGACCTACCCTCTAACCTCCAACTGTGACCTTGGTTAACTCTGGTCCTACCAACAACACCCTTACACCTAATCACTTTCCTTACTAACAGCAACTGTAGAACCACACATGAACAATTTTTGATAAATTTCAAGCAACTATGTATATATTCCAAATTTTGATAATTTTTCTGTTGAAAATTTAACCCTCGTTTGTTCTTTTCCTTTGCAACCAAACACTCATTCTGATAACTTTCTGAAAAGCTTTTTGTTTTTCTTTTGACTTTTCAAAAAAATTCTCTTCATTGTTTTTACAGATAATGTAACCTTGCAGATTGATGGTGTTCTTTACCTACGGGTCATTGATGCTTATAAAGTAAGTATCATTTAATTTTGAATTTCTACATATATTTTCCATTTATGTTTCTTTTTGTTTTGACAGATTCATTCACTATTTAAGAATAGATCTTAAAATACTTTTTCTCTCTTAATTTCTATATCTATGTAGAGGTGGAATCGAACCTAAGACGCCCAGTTACAAGACCGGAATGGTCTTGGCGTCACACCCCCATAGAAGTAGACTCGCCCGCTTACATGAGAGGCGAGAGGGGCTACTTAAACAAGACATTCACGGCAACGAGAGGTTTGGCAGATAGATACACGCCGTCTTCTGTTACCTTACATGCGGCGTCGCCGATATAGGAAACCTGCTACAAACAACGTTGGAATATGGACGAACAAACACAGCAGACATTACTTCAACAGCTCATCGAGCTACAGCAAGAGATCATCGCCCTCAAGTAAGAGACGGAGGACAGCCAAGAAAGTCACTTACAAGGAGACCCGACAGACCCAAATATAGAACCGGACTCAAGTGATGGTGACTGGGCGATATTCATTGACTCCTGGAATAGATACAAGGAGATGTGGGGTTGACGGAGCCAACAGCGTTAAGAAACAAGCTGAGAACGGCCTGTGCCCCAGAAGTGAACAGGCTGTTGTTCGATATGGTAGGAGCAGAAGTACTAAGTTCCGTCACGGAGGAACAGCTGTTACGGCACATAAAGCTCAGAGCCCGCCAGAAGCCTACACAAAGAAGTGTACCGGCAAGAATTCCACTCCGTAAGGCAGAAGGAGGGGAATCGATTACGGACTTCATGGCACGACTTCGATCAGTCGCAAAATTCTGCGACTTTTCAGTGACTTGTCCGAACGGGATAGGATGCAGTCGGAAAGTCAGCTACTCCAAATCTATATGGTAGCAAGACAAATGGTGGCTGGGCTGGCAAGCCTGGAGCATCAAAGCAAGGTGTTGTCTGAGGCTGCGACACTTACGACACTGGAAGAAAAATTCAACAGGCTTGTCAGCCTAGAGACCACGGACAAGTCTACCCCCATCTCCATAGTAACGATACCCTACTACAACGAAAGCACACAGAGATCGGGCGCGCAGGCAGCGGCCTTGGGAGAACCAGACCGTATCAACCCCCGAGACACTGAACCCTGTAAATGGTGTGGGAAGAGCTCACACCCTGACGGCCGAATGAACGAAGGGGCTGCCCAGCAGCAAAGATGACTTGTCACAAATTGCGCTTAACCGACATTTAAAAGGGGTTTGCAGGAAACCAAAGCAGGGGTCCAGCAACAAATCTACAGCGGTGTGGTCGGAGCAGAATCCAGAACTCTCACCACCCAAAGACACAAGAAGGTCGAATCGGGTGATCGCCCAAGATGGACAAGTGAAAAGGAGAGGTGAAATCAACCTGACAAAACCAAAGGCCATGCCGCACCTGATTTGGAACAAAAGTAAGTTCCAAGAGGTACTTGATCCAGCACCAACCCTGATGGTAGAGATAACTCTGATTCCAGAGGCCCATGCAGAATTCGGGCACATATCCATAGGACAAGCTGGCCTCCATACTCACCGGATCGAGGCGATCGCAGACACTGGGGCACAGACATGCTCTAGCGGACCAGAAATCCAAAAAATTCTGAAGTGTCCAGACAAATGTCTAGTACCGACTAGTCACCTAATTCGGGAATCACGGATAACCTACTAAACATAAAAGGCGTGATATTCGCTAAAGTCAGAGCAGGATCGCGGAAACACGTCATATTATATATGTATCAAAAAATACATCAGATTTCTGCCTGTCCGAGTCGGCCCTAAAAGACCTTGGTCTGGTGCCAGATAACTTTCCAGACCCAACTTCCCAGCAGAACGTGGCAACTAGCGACGGGCGGAAAGGCACCATGTGGGTGCCCACAAAGAACTAATGTCCCACCTAAGCGGACAGTATCCCTTTCGCTCCTATGGAAGAAAAACAGACCCCAATTGGAACGATGGATGAAGGAGCATTTTGAGTCCAGTGCATTCAATGTATGCCCACATCAACGGCTGCAGGCGATGGAAGGAAAACCCATGGACATCACATTCATCCCGGGGGCCAAACCCTCAGCTGTCCACACCCCAATCCCGGTCCCACACCGCTGGAGAGAAATCGGTCATTATAGGGAAACAGCGATGGCAAAAAGACACTTAAGGAATGAAAGAGAATACAATCTAAAAAGTCACCCACTTCAGGAACTGAAAATCGGGGAAACGGTGCAGATACAGAACCAAGTTGGTCCATACCCGCCCGATGGGCAAAGACAGGAAGGGTGGTGGAAACACTGAGTAACCGGGCAGTATAATGTACGCATGGATGGGAGTAACCGGGTAACCCGTCGCAATCGCAGATTCCTCCGAAAAATAAACCCAGTAGTAGATACTCCTTGCCACTCGATACCTGAGGTGCCCCCAGGAATGTTGGATACCATAGACAACCCAACAGGGCCCTAAATACCGGAGAATGGTCCACCACTGATATGGATCAAAACCAGCCCGAAACATCCGACACTCTACCAGAACCGATGGAGGTAGATGACACAGCATCCCTGAATGATGGAGGTTGAGGAAGACCAACCGGGCGTCGAGCAGAAGGGGTGACGCGACCACCCAGGAACCTATCCCCACAGACGTGGGGCACGCCGCACGACTACTCCAGAGCCTCAAAACATTGGACCACAACGCAAGTATCTTGTGGCCCGGAAGGAGGGGGCGTGTAGAGGTGGAATCGAACCTAAGACGCCCAGTTACAAGACCGGAATGGTCTTGGCGTCACACCCCCATAGAAGTAGACTCACCCGCTTACATGAGAGGCGAGAGTGGGCTACTTAAACAAGACATTCACGGCAACGAGAGGCTTGGCAGATACACGTCGTCTCGCTGCTACCTTACAATCTAAAATGTATATAACAATACCACATTTTAGATGTGGAAATTAAGAGATTTGCTAATTGCTGCAAGTTTTACAATATCTTGATAATTTTTATTTTTTTAAGTTTACAGTAATTTTTCATATACTATTCTGCTATTATTTCATCTTTCAAACATACATATTGTAATCAGTTTAGAATATGGTAATTTTTAAAATCTTTTAAATCTTTTTTCTAAAACCTCATTAACTTTGTAATGATCACTTGAAATACCAATAATATCATTGTTGAAATAATGTAAAACTTTTTTTCCAGGAGCAAGAGATTATGCAAATCTTACTATTTAAGCACTTTTCTCATTAAGTGTGTTACAATTAAAAATTAAGGAAATTGTTAATTTGTCTCCAATATGTAAAAATTGGAGCATGTCTGAAACTAAATTTTGCTTTTCCTTATGCCTGTTAAATCTAATAAGCATAAATTTGTATAAACCAGAATTGGTCTTGAAAAGCTGGTCATTCTCCCATCAGCCAAGGTTCTGCATTCTTTCCCGTCCTATTTGAAGGCAGTATGTCGCCATACTGTTGTTTATGGCACATGAAGAAGATAACATCTGTTGATTTCAATCTTACTAAGAATTTCTTCAAAACTTTCCCCCACCACTTTTATAGGCAAAAGTCCACAAATGGGATATTTTTCTTAGTCAATAAAATAGATTGGTTTACAATTTGACTCGGTCCAGATCTGCCATTTCAGGTATTTCAGACTGACTAGTTGAACTCTCTGCTTTCAGGCAGAGAGGAACCCAGACAAGGCTATGGCTAAGGGCATGGTCATGTCTGGGGAGGTAGTCAAGCCCTACCTCATGTATGTGGGGTCTACAGGGAATTCTTGCTCAAGCTTACGGGCTCAGATTTGCCCCATTTAAAAAAACGGTCTTGTGCTGCATCTTGCCTTGTGGGAAGGCTAAGGTAAATAACCTCAGTCTAGATCTGTAAACACAGTGGTCTGTCTTATAGACAACACAGACCACTGTGTTTGCTTGTCTGAACTTGGTTTTGTGCATGGGCGCCAATTCTTAGTTTATAAACTTTTTGCTTTCTTACCTGTAAATTTGCTTTGCACATATTTGCTTGCTTGCTTGCTTGCTTGCTTGCTTGATACTAATTCATTTTTACTCGTTTTCTTTTTATTGTAAACTTTGTTCATTCAGTTTGTTGGACAGTTCTGTTATTTCTTTTTCATTTGATCACGGCTACTAGTTCATCAATGTCTGCTAAGTAAACAAGCTTTCTCACTAAGAACTGATACACTATACACTCACAATCATGTAACTGATTGAATCCTATTTCTAACATTACTCTCTGATGATTGAGAGTAATGCTAAATACGCTAATATAAATAAGTAGAACTAGAATTACCAAGAAAAACTACAAGACATGTTTATAATTGATATTTTGGCTACTATAAGCCTGATACTGCCATCTTCTAGACATCATAGTAAACAGGAAGTTCATATAACTGACTGACCATGATACTCAACAAGAGTAGAATTGTATTTTAGCAATGAAGATGAAATAAGTTTTCCTCTTCACACCCTTTTCATGAAGAGTGTTTCATCATTTCATTTGATCTCATTATAATGATCTTATATTTCTTCACAATGTAAAATCTATTTTTTTTTTCATAATATATATCCTTTACAATATGAGCTATTTTATAAGTTAGTATACTCTTATTTTGTTTTTCTTCTGTAAAGATCCCAAATTGTGAATGCTATGTTTTTCCACTTAGAAAATGTAACAAAAGTTGCCATAGATTGTTTTTGATCAAAATAAAGTTTAATCCATAATACTTCTGTAAATTATTTCGTGTAGCATTAAATAAAGTTTGCAAGATTGTTTTTGTCACTTGGATCCACTCTCTGAATGAGTTTGGATTCAACACATCCCTCATTAATGAGTTATAGTTAAATTACTGAATGAGCGAACATGGTTGACAATCTTATAATACCTTAGATCTGTAAAGAAAACTTAACTGAGTTATAAAAATATCTATTTTAACCATTTCTTTCTATTGTCAATAATAGCTTAGTCTTCAAATGTTATCTTTTATTAT